GAAGACTGAAATCTTCTTCAACAGAATCAAGAATAATGTTACCCATCCAGTGTGCTGTAAGACGTTGATTGTTGGCGACGGTTACAATGCATGGATTCTGAAGACGACGCTGATTGATGACAAAGCAGTTTTCTGATGAACACATATGCTGGCCGCAACAACTGTCGAGATACCAAGTGTTCGGACCTTCCAAGGTATGTGCAAGGTTGGCGTAGACCTCGGGTGGTATGGGCGTATTGAGTTCATCGTTGAAGTTATTGTGAATACGATCTTCAGCGTCAAGATCGTAGGTGGTATAAACTGACGTCATACAATTGATAACTTCTTTCGCTTGTGTCTTGGCAGGTGTAGTAGGCGGCTTCGCAGAGTTTGGCTTCGCAGTATTCTGCTTCGCAGCTTCCGGCTTCTCAGCTTCCGGCTTCTCAGCTTCACCTGAAGAATCTTTGGTATGTTTCGATGCAGACCGCTTCCAAGATGGTTTATCCTTCGACCAGCAGGTATCAATAGTGTGTCCTGCTTTGCGACAAAAGGAACAAACGGGTTTGTGACGTGGATTAGAATAAAAACTGACTGTGTTGTTTACCACCTTTTTCCCTCCTCGAGCGTTGTGCAGGTCCATATCCTGCTGCTCGGCAATGAGAGCGGCACAGAGTGCCCCCTTGGACAACTGTGCTTGCATCCGGAGAATAGAGCGACACTGTCGCCATTCTGGTCCAAGACCCGCGAGTATCACCGTGTGAAACATAGCGTTGGGGAAGTATCCTCCACACTTCTGAAGTTGGTCGCGCAGATTTCGAGCGCGGTTGATATACTGCGTCACCTTCTCGCCGGTTATCATCTGTATATTTGACAGCTGTGTCAAAATTTTACTCTGGTTGACAGTGTCCTTTGCCATGTGAACCCCTTGCAGATATAACCAGGCTGCTTCAGCGGGAGCGGCACTGGTACGAAAAGGACGAATACCAAGCTGTTCAGTCGGTGTCAGATTACGAACGAGAATTGTGTATGCAGTCAGCGACGCTGATCGAAAAGTGGCCTGTTGAAGTGGTGACCCGTGTGATGGAAAGGGTGCTGTGCCGTCGAACAACTGCCGGAATCCCGCAGTCTGAACAAGAAGCTCAAATTCAAAACTCCAGGTATAGAAGGGCATTGTCGTTTTAATTTTTGTTGGGTTTGCAGAAGCGGGAAGATAGTTTCCGGTGCCGTCAGCTGATTGTAATTGATAAAGTGATCTCATCTGTGAACCTTGTGGTGCTTGTTGTCCTTGTCCAGCAAGAACGAAAGAGAAGGAGTTATTCGACCCGTTGCTTCCTTGTGACATCTGTCCATACTGATAACTGGAGCCATCAAGGCTCATAGGAGTTGGAAACATTTGGTTAAGTGACAAGACGGCAGCATTGACACGTTGTTGAAGATTTGTTGGCTGGTAAGCACCTTGATATTGATAAGGTCCAGTCGGTACGAAACTGGACTGTTGTCCTGGTTGACTAGAAGAACCAGTGACTGCAGCTGCAGCTGTTGTGGCTGCTGATGCTGCTGTTGCTGCGGCTGCTGTCGATGATGCCGCTGCTGTAGTTGTGTGTACGGGCTGACTGCTCAGTGGCATGCCGTACATCGGTTGTTGCTGATATTGTTGTTGTTGATGTTGTTGCTGCAGATAAGAATTGTCAGCAGCTGGAGACGCTGTTGGGCGCGATGGGCTCGTAACAGAAGACCCGTTGTTGGATCGTGGAGAGCCAGACATAGTTGCAGAGTATGTAGTTGGAAGCTTGTAGTATCCTAAGACGCTCGCAATATTATGTTAGGATTTGAAATGATTGAGTAGGATCGTAATACTTAGGATGGTAGCTTCCTGTCGTAGCGGAAGTCTTGTATGAGTTAAAGCCAGTTAAGGAGGCTTTGTCTGGACTAGTGAAAGCCCATGTAGTGATATGTTTCAGGATCAATGTCTCTGAAATCAGATATATATAAAATGACAAGCATATAGAATATATAGCTAGAGTAAAGTACCTGTTCGCCTACTGTACTGTGCTATTCCTGTTCTGAAACGGTGCGTAACTTTTCGCGAGGCCTATAGCTACGTGCTGACGTCATCCTAGGGCGCGTAGCGCTTTGCTGACGTCAGCCTATCGGTACTTTACTGTACTACACGAATTTCCTTGAAGTGCTTAAGTCTCGATATTATCTCAACACTTCCGACGGTTTCACTGACATCCAGTAGCAATCTAGGGGTAATTGGCAACTTTACCTCTATTGTGCCCTCCTCATGGGTCGCTTTACTAGCAGCCTATGATCACAGACTGTATGGAAATGTTTTTTTTTCGGCTTCATCTTATTGATAAACTGGGGGACCTTAATTGGAGGGCTGTCAGCTTACGTGGTCGAAATCCATTTGTTCATAAAGTGCGAAGCACATTGGATAAGCACATTGAACTCGTTTCGTTGACCAGTAATTCTCCTCCCTTTCTCCAACGCTGGACTTTCGCTGACTCGTTTCTTTTTGTTACTGTTCGACCGACCATAACATCTTTCGTGAACAGAGAGCTTTCCTGCACGAACTCCACAGCACACAAACCCTGGGAATGAAGATCGCGGTTTGGGTGAACGCTTTGCGGGGCAAAATGGTTCGTTCTTAGTCTACATCGGTAAAACAGGGTTTTGAGCGAAACTGAACGGTTGTGACTTTCCCTGATTGTCACATCCGCACCGCGCCAGCTAAGTCAGTGCCTTACCCCAACGCCCCCGCAATTACTCGCAAATAGCGACGTCTTGCATAGCAGCGGTCAGACCCCGTCTATCCAGCAAAACTCTTCCTCCCGTAGCACAATAGTGAGCTCAATACATGGTACGAAGCAGTGTGTTCCGTAACCGTCGCGGCAGCTGGTATTGCGCTGATTGCGGAGCACCGCTGCTAACTTGGTAAACTTCCTAAAACACAGTAGACGTAGTACGCGACACCAGGGCGACGGCGAAACCACCGCACCGCTGCTTGCAGCGCTCCGCTAGATCGCCAAGGAAGGAAGACAGGCGAGAACGACGGGGGCGTCGACGCCGCCGCCTCTGCCGTCACGCGCGGGACTGTCGCCCGCGCCGGTGGCGGGGGCGGCGGCCCTGGCGCCCGAATCGGCGGGCCTGGCTGCGGCGGAAGGTCCGGGCGGCGGTGGACGGCGGTGGTGAGGATCCACGGCGCGTGCATTGCGGCGAACGACCCCTTTGCGGGGGACCACGGCGGGCGCTTGCCTGGCGGAAATGCGCCGGCTTGCGGAGATGCGGCTGGCGGAAATGCAGGAGATGCGACAGGCGGAAGTGGGGAGGCGGATGGGGGGACGCGCCTCGCCCCATACTGCCCGCTGAGATCGTCCCCCGGGTTCGTTTGGTCCGCGCGCACGCACCTGTTCCGCAGATCGGAGGCGGAGGCGGAGGCGGAGCAGGTGCAGGCGCAGGGGCAGGCGGAGGCGAGGTCGCAGGCGCAGACACAGGCGCAGGAGCAGGAGCAGGCACAGGGGAAGGTGCAGGAGCGGGGGCCGGGAGAAGGCAGTGCGGAGAGGGGAACGGAGGACGGGGAGGGGGAGAAGGCAGGAGAAGGCGCAGGGAGAAGGCGGAGACCGGGCCGAGGTGGTGGTTTTCTGTGCTACTTCGGAGGTGGTCCCGGTGAATCGAGGTGTGACAATGACGAGGGGGGGGTGAGTATAGCGAGGGAAGCAGGAGGAGGAGAAGGAGGTGGAGGTGGAAGGTTGAGGGGGGATGAGGCAGGTCGGGGGATTGCTGCAGAGGCTTTGGTGGCTTGGCGCATGGATGGCGTTGCTGCTGCTGCTGCTGCTGCTGCTGCTGGTGCTGCTACAGCTGGAGCATCAGCGGAAGGTTTGAAGATGGCACAGAAGCAGCAAGAACAACAGGGGCAGCAGCAGCAACAGCAGCAGCAGCAGCAGCAGCAGGGCCAGCAGTAACAACAAGATCAGAAGCAGAAGGATGAGCAGCAACACCAACGGCAGCGAGAGCAAGAAGAGGCGGTGGCAATGGCAAGAGAGGACCGCTCCCACGTGCGCGTCTCACCCTCCCGGGGCTTTGTCTTTGCAGCGGTGTATGACGGCTTTGCAGAGCGGCACGCCGTGGATTACCTGCTCGCACACCTCTACACCGCACTGTGCCACCAGCTGGACGCGTGCGGCTTGCATACACTGCACCTGGACTCTCAAGAAAATTCTATGCACCTGGACGGTTGTGGTGGCGGCGGCTTGCCCTCCGTGCCCTCCCAGGAGTGTCACAGAAACGGCCAGCATCTCACATGCGTCCTGCACTGTCAAGCATGCACGGAGAGTGGGAGGGGGCAAGAAGGCCACAGTGCATCTGGTGGTTTGGAAGGGAAGTGTGAGTGTGGGTGTGAGTGTGAGAGTGCAGCAGGTGGGGGTGAGTTGAAAGGAAAGATGAGGTGGATGGTGCGTAAGATGGGCAGGGCGAGTAGGAAAGCGTTCCTGAGGGACCGAAGCCGCTCTGATTGGTTAGAAGCTTCGAAAGAGACAGAGGGATTGGAGCAGGAGGGTGTGTGTGAGGGAACGGGCGGGAATGAGTCGAAGGGTAAGCTAAGGTGGACGTTGGGTGAGGTGGGGAGGGCGAGCAGGAAAGCATTCCCAAGGGAGCGAAGCCGCTCTGATTGGTCGGAAGCTTCTGATAACCAGGATGACCAAGAAGCATTCCCTGGGGATAACCAGGATCACAGAATGGGCCAGGAGGGTGCATATGAAAAGACACAGGGGGTGCGGCAGGAGAGAGGGTCTGATGCTTCTCAGAATGGAGAGCTGAGGGGAGAGAAGGAAGGAGAAGGAAATGGAGAAGGGAAGGAGGAAGGGAAGGGGATCAAACAAGTCGTGGGACATAGTCAGAAACAGTCACAGCAGCAGCACCACCACCATCACCACCAGGAACGGCAGCAGCAGCAGCAACACCCTTTCCATGTGCCAAAGGCCTTGCAAGAGCCAGGTAACGACCACAGAAGGCACCAAATGATCTTAGGCGCCTTAGAACGCGCTCTTGACTCTACCGAGTCCTCCTTTCTGACGCGAGTTAAAGACGACTCTAAAGACCAGCCAGAGTATGCGGTAGGAGGGGCGTCTCTAGTTGCTGCTATAGTCACAGGGACCGATGTTTATGTGATTAATTTGGGGGATAGCAGGGCGGTGATTGTAAGGGGGGAAGAGGTGGGGAGGGGATGGCGAGGGGTGTTGAGGAGGGGGGCAGGAGAGGGAGGGGGAGGGAGTGCTAGTTGTGTGAGCGGAAGGAGGAGAAGCGGGGAAGGGGGACGTGGGCGAGGGGGAAGTGGGGGATGGGGGAGTAGTGGAAGAGGGGAGGGAGAGGGGAGTGGTAGCAGCAAAGGGAGTGGCAGAAGAGAGAAAGTGGGGGGAACGGGGGATATGTGGGAGAAGGGGGAGAAGTGGGAGAGGGGTGAGATTAGTGGGGCTGGTGGGGAAATGGAAAGTGCGGGAAGCAGGGGTGCAGGAGGAGGGGAAGCAGGAGGAGGGGAGAAGAGAGGAGGCAGAGGAGGGGGAGTGTGGAGGTGGAAGGCAGAGAGAGTGACAGTGGACCACAACACGAGCAATGCTGCTGAGTCCTCTCTCTTCTTCTATCACCCTCCTGTCAAACTTATATGCTGCACATTGTGTAGTCTGTAGTGGGGTAGCCTATATGGGGTACAACACAACTCAGGGTTAGTACTTGTACTCGTCCTGCTGCTAGTTCACCCCATTCTCGTTCGTTATTTTCACATGGAATCAAAATAGGTTTCCTGGGCCCACCACCTGCTACGCTACTAGTACCCCCCCTCTAGGCCCGTCGTGCCCCTTAGGCCCGTCGCGCCACCTCACGGCCCCTAGGCCCCGTCGCTCACGGCCCCTCGGCCCCGTCGCCCACGGCCCCTAGGCTCTGGCCCGTCGCTGCCCCTACCTCGGCCCCTTGGCCCCGTTTGCCCCGTCGCCCCTAGCCACGCCACTCGGCCCTGTTGGCCCCGTCGCCCCTAGCCGCGCCCCTCGGCCCCGTCGACCCCGTCGCCCCTAGCCGCGCCTCTCGGCCCGGTTGGCCCTGTCGCCCCTAGCCGCGCACCAAGGCCCCGTTGGCCCCGTCGCCCCTAGTTGCGCCCCTTCGGCTCCGTTGGCCCCGTCGCCCCTAGCCGCGCCTCTCGGCCCAGTTGGCCCCGTCGCCCCTAGCCGCGCTCCTTCGGCCCCGTTGGCCCCGTCGCCCCTAGCCGCGCCCCTCGGCCCCGTTGGCCCCGTCGACCCCGTCGCCCCTAGCCGCGCCTCTCGGCCTCGTTGGCCTTGTCGCCCCTAGCCGCACCCCAAGGCCCCGTTGGCCCCGTTGCCCCTAGCCGCGCCCCTTCGGCCCCGTTGGCCCCTAGCCGCGCCTCTCGGCCCAGTTGGCCCCGTCGCCCCTAGCCGCGCTCCTTCGGCCCCGTTGGCCCCGTCGCCCCTAGCCACTCGGCCCTGTTGGCCCTGTCGCCCCTAGCCGCGCCCCTTCGGCCCCCGTTGGCCCCGTCGCCCCTAGCCGCGCCCCTCGGCCCCGTTGGCCCCGTCGCCCCTAGCCGCGCCCCTCGGCCCCGTTGGCCCAGTCGCCCCTAGCCGCACCCCTCGGCCCGGTTGGCCCCGTCGACCCCGTCGCCCCTAGCCGCGCCCCTTGGCCCCACTGGCCCCGTCGCCCCTAGCCGCGCCCCTCGGCCCTGATTGGCCCCGTCGCCCCTAGCCGCGCCCCTCGGCCCCGTTGGCCCCGTCGCCCCTAGCCGCGCCCCTCGGCCCCGTTGGCCCCGTCGACCCCGTCGCCCCTAGCCGCACCCCTCGGCCCCACTGGCCCCGTCGCCCCTAGCCACGCCCCTCGGCCCCGTTGGCCCCGTCGACCCTGTCGCCCCTAGCCGCGCCCCTCGGCCCCACTGGCCCCGTCGCCCCTAGCCGCGCACCTCGGCCCCTAGGCCTCTTTGGCCCCTCGGCCCCGCCCCTCGGCCCCTCGGCCCCTAGGCCCATTGGCCCCTCGGCCCTGCCACCCTCTTGTTTGGCCCCTTGGGCCCTAGGCCCCTTGGCCCCCTTTACCTCGTGTTTGGCCCCTCGGCCCCGCCCCTTGGCCCCTCGGCCCCTAGTCTCCTCGGCCCCTCGGCCCCTAGTCTCCTCGGCCCCTCGGCCCCTAGGACCTTTGGCCCCTCGGCCCCTCGGCCCCTAGGACCTTTGGCCCCTCGGCCCCTCGGCCCCGCCACCCTCGTGTTTGGCCCCTCGGCCCCTAGGCCCCTCGGCCCCGCCCCTGGCCCCTTAGCTACTACTGCTAGTGCTGCTCCAGAGTCCTGCGCCACTATGGCTTCGCTTAGGGTTCTAGCGTTCGATCAGGAGGGCAGACTGGTTGCATTTAACACGTGGCACGACGATCTGCAACTGTACCTACTAATCGACAGTAAGGACAGTGTCTCACTGTTTGACCACGTGTCCAATGTCGCTCCAGCCCCTCCCGCCACAGCTGACGGTTCGACTCGTTCCCAGTGGCTATCTCGTGACGCTACTGCCCGCTTAGCCATTCGCAACCACCTGCCCGTGACCAAATGTGCTCACTTTGGAGAGCACAGGACAGCACAGGCCCTGTACGACGCTGTCGTTGCTCGCTACTCCTCCCCTGCCACTGCTGCTCTTGGCAGGCTGCTACTGCCCTACCTGTTCCCTGAGCTGTCGGCTTTTGCCACAGTAGCGGACCTGGTTACCCACCTGCACTCTAGCGACGCTCGCTACCGCGTTGCCCTCCCAGCCAAGTTCCTTGCAGGGAACCCGCCCCCGATGTACATCACTCTCTATTTTGTAGTCACTTGCCTCCCTGACTCCCTTCGCTCTGTTAGGGACCACTTTCTCACCCTAGACCCCACCTCCCTCACTGTTGACCTCCTCGAGCAGCATCTCCTTACAGCTGAGACTAGTGCAGTTGCTGTAGGTGCTGCTCGTGGCACTCTACGCTCGCCCTTCTTTGAGGGGTGCTCCCCCTCCCCCCTTTCCCCCTCCTTCGCCTCTGCTGCTGCTGCAGATGTCTACTGGGAGGCTGAGAGGGCACGCGAGGTCAGGTCGTGTGCACATCATCAGGTACATGAGGCAACCCACAAGCTCTGGGTACGGACCACTTGGCTCTACGAACTCGTCCAAAGGTGGAGCTGAGAGAGAGTGGCCAGTAGACAGAGGAGTGGGCTGTGGCGAGGAGAAATGGAAGCCGAAACGCTGAAGGACCTGGTGCACCATGTGTGACTGAGTCAGTGTGATGGTGCGCCGTGCTCAGTCCCGGGTGATCTGCAAGCCAAGATAGCTGCGCAGTTCACCCAGGTCAGTGCAGGTGTGTCTCTTCTGCAGCTCCGACTTCACAAGGGTCACTGCCTCAGTGTCAGCAGTGGCAAAGATGAGGTCGTCTACCTACATGAGGACGTAGAACGGTGGCAGCGAGGTGTCTGTACGGAGAAACAGCGACGGGTCAGTAGTAGAAGGAGTAAACCCCAGAGCCGCAAGTGTAGTCCTGAGTGTATCGTGCCACTCGCAAGGCGCATGGCGGAGACCGTAGACTGGCCGCCGGAGGCTCCATTGGTACGTGCAGGAAACGACCCAGTGAAGCCAGGTGGGCGGCGCAGCTAGATCTCCTCGTGTAGACTGCCTTGCAGGGAAGCTGTGCTGAGTCTAGAGAGTGCAACTCGTAGTCACGCTGAGCAGCGACGTGCAGCAACACCCGAAGAGTAGTCAAATTCGGGGTGGGGGAGAAGGAATGGAAGTTGTCAACTCCCTGTCGCTGATTGAAGCCTTGAGCAACGTAACGCGCCTTGAAGGTAGGCGGAGAACCTGGCGGCTGCTTCACCCTGAAGATCCACATGCCATCGACTATGTTCGGCCTTAGGTGGGGGAACCTCGTCGACGTAGGTGCCTGTGGACTTCTAGGATGCCATCTTGGAATCCATGGCTGCCTGCCACTGAGAGGAGTAAGGACCCGTAATCGCCTCTGCGTAAGAGCGCGGGGTTGGGATGTCTGGTGCATCCGGGTCTCCCTCAGGGGCAAGCAGCATGGAAGCGAAACGAGGTACAGCAGCTGCAAGACACTCAAAGTCGTCCTGCCTGTCCTCAAGGACGTCCGTGCCGAGAGCACACTCACCCCGGACGGATGTAGGACTGGTAGACGTAGACTTAGCAACTAGAGCAGTGGCGGAGTCTAGACGGCAGGTAGCAGCAAAGTCAAGCAGCTCAGCAACGAGAGCAGACGCAGCAGCAGACTCCAAAGAAGGGTCAGTGAGAACACTGGTGAGGAGACGAGAGACAGTGGGACTGACAGCACGAGCGCGGTTAGACTCAGGGTCAAGGACCTCAGGAAGAGAGGACTCAGGAGGAGCAGGCAGAGGAATAGACGAAGGACGGAGTGCCATAGCGTGTGTGCCGGGGACAGGAGGAGGACGCAAATGAGGAGCGCGACGAGCAGTGCGAACAGGCGAGACAGGACGAGACGCAGGCTCACAACGCTCTGTAAGAACGCCGGACTGCTCAGTGTAAGGAGAGGGAGCAGGCAGTGGGGCAGCTCGCTGTAACGGCGGCTGCGACTGGTCAGTCGGCGGACACAGGAAGGGAGGAGTAAGGCCAGTAGAAGACGAGACACCAAGAACCTGCTGAATCAGGGGAACGAAGTATGGTCGCGGCCGCACAGTGCCTCCAGCACCTCCAGCTCCAGGGTCAACAGCTCCAGCTCCTACAGCTCTAGCGCCTCCCGCGCCAGTGCCTCCAACTCCAGCTCCTCCAGCTCCAGCGCCTCCAGCGCCAGCTCCACCAGCGCAAGAGCCTCCAGCTCCAGCAGCTCCAGGCTCGATAGGGTCTCCAGCTCCAGCGCCCCCAACACCACCACTCCCGGCAGCTCCAGCATCCCTGGTACAAGCACCTCCAGGACCAGCAGCCGTAGTACCTCCACTACCACCAGCTTCAGCAGTAACTCCAGCACCTCCACATCCAGCGTCTCCAGTGCTTCCAGCTCCGGGAGCTCCACTCCGAAGGCGTGCGCGCCGAACAAGCCACTCACGCAGCTGTTGCAGAGACAGTCGCGGCGAAGCACAAGCAGGATCTCCAGACGAAGCAGTACCCCGAGGCTTAGCGCCCCCAGACTCCGCACCCTCCGACTCCGCACCCTCCGACTCAGCACCCCTAGGCTCAACACCCTCAGGCTCAGCACCCCCACGCTCCTCACCCCCAAGCTCAGCACCCCCTGACCCATCACCCTCAGACCCCGCACCCCCCGGCTCCGCACCCCCAGACGCAGCACCCCCAGACGCAGCACCTGGAGCAGCACCTGAGCCGACAGCTACCTCGACAGGCGCAGTACCAAGGAGAGGGTCTACCTGAGACACAACTGAGCGAGCAGGACCCTGGGGCGGGAGGGGGTCTACCGGAGGGGCACCGGGAGCAAGGAAGAGCGGCGGGGGCGGGGGAGGGGCAGAGCGGTAGGGGAAGAGACGGTAAAAGGGAGCCGACTCGTCAAACGTGACGTTCGGAGACGGGAGGACACGACGTGGGGTGGGGAGGTAGAACTGCCAGCCAGGCGCGTCAGGGACAAAGCCAAGGAAGACGTAGGGGATAGCACGGCCTTGTCGACTGACGTGGGCTAGGCCCCACACGTCCATGTGGAGAGTCTGCAGGGGAGCAGTCATCGGGGGAAACGAGGAAGAGTGAGGAGCGGCGCGCTGCCGCCCCTCGACGTACGGAAGGCAGGGCGGGGCAGGCGAGGGCGGGTTGGGGGGAAGATACCTCGGTAGACCAGAGACGAGAAGACAGGAGTGCATGCCACATTGGCGTGGCAGGGAGGGGTGACCCAGGCGGTGGTGCCACAGAAGAGTCTGGTGCGACAGGAGGTGACACGAGCAAGAGGTGGCTACCTGACCTGACGCGGACACCTGAGCAGACACAGCTACCTGAGGAGGCTCGGTAGCGAGTGTGTACAGACTCGACCCTGGCCAACGAGTGAACGTAGCCAAGTGACGCCCCGTCCGTGTGCACGTGCAGATCGACACACGCTGACCCCTAGGAGTGGTGGTAGTGACCATCGCATCCTGGAAGGCAGCGGTACTCACCAAGTTTGTAGAGAACGAGGGGAGGTGAAGACCTGACAGTGAGCTGGATGGAACCGCCGGACACAGGAGGACAGTGGAGGAACGGGCAACGTCGGGGCCCCCAGAGGGGTCAGCCAATCTGACCGGGACAGGTGCGGGGAGAGGAGTGAGAGTGGTGCTGTCATGAAAGAAACAGCGCGAGGCGCCGGAGTCCAACGTGAAGGTGTGCAAGGCCTGAGCAAGCGCAGTA